ATATTTTTAATGATAAGCAGAGAAGTCTAAAGTATAATAATGTTTTTTTAATTTTTAAAGAAAACTGAAAGTACGACAGCATGAGGTTCTAACAAGTTCAATTGAATATATGTACTTTATCTATAACAGATGCATTATAATTTTTGTGAGACGAGAAAACAGACATGATTAAGATGTTTATTGCACATAATAAGTCTATATATTTTCACCTTTTTAACCTGTTTGCACATTTCCTGTCTTGTTGCACACACTGAGTGGTCCTATTTATGCCAAATGTAACTTATGTTTCAACTTATCATATCCTATCTACTGTCTTACTTTATCAAAAATCTCTCAACATTTGAAATCATGTCAAAAATGTGTATTCCTCAAGCTACAATCTACAATGTTTTGTTACTGGCAGTGCATTTTAACGAAGAGTAAAAACTTTGAATGGCCGTAAAATAGATCTGGCTTTTCATACAACTAAAGGGCAAATTGTAACATGTTTCTAGTGGCACTCATCTGTTGTTAAAAATGAACAAATCCAAACTCTTTCTCTTCCATTCCCAGTATTCCTCCCTCTCGCTCTGCTGCAGTTTCGCCGCAGTACTCTGTCTCAAATGTTTCCTTTCCTCGCTGGCGTTTTTATGGTGCACATCTTGTGGCTTTTGTCATTTGCCTGGAGCGTTGCGTAATGAGTTCTGCACGGCTAATAGATACTTAATGGACAGAGGGAAGCCTTGTTGTATTGGCCTTCCAGCTAAAGACCCAAAATGAAATGCTAGAGGTTGGTAAAAACTAATTATACAAGCTCTCCGCAGATGGAGATCGTAGCCACGTTATTCTGGTTTAAAGTGTTAGAGAGTGTTAAGGCAAGTCAGTCGATAAAACATATTAATTCAATTCAAGTTGGTGAACAATCAGACCACAACTTGCTGCCTTTATCTTGTAAGGAAACATTACGGGACAAAGAGCTGATTGGCTGAGTGAAGGCTGGTAATCTCTTTTCACTGACTGAATATGGGCCTCCCAGAGCTTAATCACTTTTCCCCACTGGGTTTTTAGTTGTTCCTTACCGATGCAGGAGGGTCTGAGGACATTTTTGAACATTTACTGTATTAACATTGACGGACATTTGCGTTTTGGGTTTTTCAATAGGACATGAACCATGTCAACCACACGGTGGTTGAGTGGATAGACATAGCACTCTCGCCTCTCAGCAAGAAGGTCCTGGGTTCCAATCCCGGTCGCACCAGGGAGTGGAGTTTGCATGTTCTCCCCGTGTCTGCGTAGGTTTCCTCCGGGTACTCCGGTTTCCCCTACCACTAAAAATATGTACAATAGGTCTGGCATGCGCCTCGTGTACTGGCGACCCTGTTCCCATCTCTGTGTGGATTGAGAGACAAATGCCCAAAATGAACAATTGTAAACTGCTTTGAGACTCAGATTTGCAGTGAAAAGGCGGTATATAAATAAAGATGACTTACTACTACTATTATTGTGTTTGATTCTCTGATCTTAGTAATACCTCCAAGATGTTTGATGTTGTAATTTAGGGCTATACAAATTTACATTGAATTGAATTTGAATTTAAAAAGCCGATCTACAGATGGATATGACAGAAGCCACAAAGACGTGCATGTGAAAACTATAGAACCAAACAGCTTTGAGACCGAAGAACTAGTTTCAAACTTAGGTACTAAGGCTTTAAGTGGTTGTTGTTATAGCAAATTCAATTAAAATGCTCACAATATGAGATATGATTGAAATCTAACTTTGACAAGTCACTGCACGAGTCCCATAACAATCTCGAGCCACAACCCTCCTCCTCCCCATTACATCATCACTCAGCGTCCAGGACGAGGGTTCAGACCCGGGGAATCTCATTTTCATTTCCCCCCACTCTGCCAGGAACTAAGCGCCCAACCATATCCCAACACCCTGTACCTCAATCTATGCCATTCTACGATTGCAAGTCCAAATATTTGCTTGTTATCCATTAAACATCATTCTAATACAGTCTTTGAGTCTTTTGAGATCAAACTGAACAAATTCAAGATTCATGGTCTATGCCAAAACAGAGAAAAACAAACATGACCCTTATAGAAATACGTAATTGATGCTCGGGGAGTTTCATTTGACATCCAGGCCTGGTATTTCCTTGTATTTGGAGCTGCTATCTTGGCTCTGCGGCAGAATCTTTTTTAGACTTTAAATTATTCGGATTTTACGTGCTATGATCGCTTTTCTTTTGAGACCCGAGATTATTTTAGGAAAGGGCAGACTTCAGTTACTATCCGCTGAAATGAGCTGGCCGAGGGGACACTTTGATGGAGATGACATGATCCACTGAGACACAGGCAAGGAAACCACTTAATCATATTACAGAAGCATAAAGAAGCGTCTGGGAAGTGGGAAGCCCAATATATTGAAATCAATGTCTGTGGAACACTCTCTAAGTCCACACTGTTACTAATGGAATGTTGTGAGGTCTTGACAATTCAAATGATTAAATCTGATTCTTGGATATACGTTTAATTAGTAAATGTTTTGTACTCGAAGTTGGAAAATCATAATAATCAGAGCATATAAAACCAGTAATAAAAATAATAATAATATTAAATCTTTATATGTATAGCACTTATCAAAAACAGTGTTTACAAAGCACTGCACACAGTCAGCAATACAAAATATAACAGCCACAATAATCACATAATAATAACATATCACGAAGAAAAACACAAAGAGATTAAAGCAGACAAACATGAAGAAAAATAACCCAAAGACAATGTGGAAAAGTGAAATGCATAATTTAAAACTGACACTTATAGGATAAAAGTGGGATCTAAGAAGTGATTTTAAAGAGGATATAGTGAAGCTACCATCCTTCAGAGTCTTCAGAGTCCGAGTTGGTTCATATGGCACTAACATGTCACGGATGTACTTTGGTGCGAGGCCATGGAGGGACTGAGGCTCAGTTTAGACGGAGGCGCTGCGCAGACGTTGCCAAGATATTAACAGAAATGGCCAGGCTTCTAATGCAAATTTCACAGCGTTCATACGAGGATCAAAAACGGTGTAGTTCTAGCGCCCGGCCAGTAGTAGGCAGAGGAATTTTAGAACACGAAACACGCGAGCCCCAGCCCGCCCCAGCAGTGTATACTCAGTTCATCTGGAAGACGTGAAAGATGCACCAACATCCTTCTGCATTTAACAGTAGCTGCGAAAATGGAAACTGAAACTAGAGCTTTGCGTGGTCGGGTTTGGACAAACAAAGGAGTAGAATCCTCCTCTGTGTAGCGCTCAAAGCACATGTAGCTAGTTAGTTTACCCACCGCCATTGTTGTTTACGTTTGTTCTCGGCTAGTGTGCATGTCCACATTTACGTGCGGGGAGCAGTGGGGAAGTGGGGATCAGATCAGACAAAGAATTCACACCTTTTGAGAGCCCCCGCAGAGCAGCGTATCTGAGCTGTCCCACTCTGCAGGCTGGATCTGAACACTTACGGTTTCACCCTTGTGAAAAAACTACTCACATTTCAACAACATAATCTCTTTAATACATGTTGTCAGCCGCTGGTTCAAAACTACAGGTTATCTGGACATCAGCACAAACAGACAAGTTTTACAGACTACAGTCTAGTCTGGGTCTCTGCTAGATGGAAAGCAGCAGAGTGACAAAGAATGGACCAAAAAGCTCTCGTCTTATACCATGATAATTTGAAACACATGCAACAATATGTCCCACCATCCTTAGGTGAAGACAATACCTCCTATGTTCAGGACAAACGGTAGCCCCTGTGTAAGTAAGCCTGAGGCTACTCTAAACAGATGTTTTCTGCGTTCTTGCCTTAATTTAACTTCCTGTGTTTAATGGCTGGGGGATGGGAGAATGCTGCTGATGCGTCCATCACATCCCATCACACACGTAGGTTAACCCAAAACTGTCTAAACTTTGAATATATTCTAATTCACTTTAATGAAAATCCAACAACTCTACTAACATTCCCTCCTGTTTTTCATTAAAAGAATTAATCACATTCAATGTTTAGTAAACCAACTTAAAGATGGAACACAATGAAATTAATACAAACACAGTATTACATTTGAATCCAAGTTGTGTCGACTCAACTTAGAGACCCCTCTTGACATGTGTCTTATAAAAATCACATTGGTTACAGAAACACACACAGAAAATAACTCAAAAAAGTTTTTTTAGAGATCATTTCATATGTATAGAATTACTCCCCTATAAACCATATCTCCCCCCTGTTTGAGACATTAAAAATGGCTCAATAACTAAACATAATTCCTAATTATTCATGTGTATGAAATGAAAAAGACACAAATACCCAATTTACTCATGTAAATTAATGTAGCATCACAATTTTTAAACTAAACGTTCATTTGAAATGTATTAAACTGGAATGTTTTAACCTGAAATGGATTAACTTGAAATGTGTCAACTTTGGTTAGCAAATTAAACACCACACCAAAAAGCCTATTGTCCAGTAACGCCTGTTGTAGACACGCCTCCAAACCCCAATGTCTTCTGCAGCCAGCAATGTCCAGCCCCATCCTGCACAGCCCCATCATGTCCAGAAGCCTCTGTCCTGTTCACACACTTTAGAACCGACAGCAAAAACTGGAAACCTCCAGTCCTCAGATCTTTGCACAAAGGTGATGTCTTCGGTCAACCCAGTCTTTCAGATTTTTTGGAAATCTGCAAAATGTCCCAAAAACACACAGAGTCAAGTTGTTGATTTGAGTCTGACCTCTGGATGACCCTTTGCATCATTGCTTCTGTAGTTGCAGCATTTAGCCGTTGGTTTGGCCTGCTGGTTTGGCTTGGTTTGGCTTGGTTTGGCCTGCTGGTTGATGATTGGTGGGGGTGGGAGTGGGCGTCTCCTTCACATGAATTAACTCTGAGCTTTTTGAGCATCAAAAGTGGTGTTTTAGGTGTTTCCCTCAAACAAAACACACAAAGTACACATTTGTTAATACATTTCAAACTTAGTTCAGTAAACCCCAAAAGAAAACCAACTTAGCAGTTAATGAAAACTGTTGCTGAAGACAGTCCTATTACTGTATATTTTCTTGTGTCAGAAATGAAAACATCACAATTAACTTATTGAAATAATGTATAACTAGTTATATTCAGAATCAAACAGATTTGCATTTCTTTGATGTAAACATTAAACATGCTACAGTAACTTCCCTTACTGTTGAATTTAAACCCTTCAAATGAAACTAAACATGATTATTATTCAAATCTGAGAAATTAAACTGCTTATTTTCAGAGTGTTTCCCACTTATCTGATTGTTCTGAGTCAGCATCAGTCAGAGAGGACTTCTTAGGCGTCTGATTCGTCGTTCCCAAGCACAGCACATGAACTTGTAATTGATCTGTGAAGTTTAAAACACTCTCGTGCCCAATGGTCAAAAGAACCACAATTAAAGCAGCCTTGCTTCTTTGTGCCACTGCTTCGCTCCCTCCTCCCCATCTGGATGCACTCTGCTCCCAGACCTGTCTTCCTGGTTGGAGTGGAGTGAGGCACTGGCTGTGGCTGGGAAGGATCAGATGATCTGCCCCCAAGTGTCTCTCTTTGACTGGCTGTGATGGACTCAGAAACAGAAGAAAACATTAGTGTTGACTCACTCATGACTTCTTTGCATTCTCTCATCTTAATACATGCATCTAGAAACTTCTTTTGCTGTTTCAACATTTTTCCCTCCACATCTAAAATGTTTTTTAAATCACTCAGCTTTCCCAGACTGAGTGAAGCCATGTGTTCTTCACAAAAATCAAGTGTTAATTCTAACCTGCTGTTAACATTACAATTATCCATTGCTACTTCGTTAGTCTTTCTCCTAACATACTCAACACTTTCTGTACAATCCCTCTTCCAGTGTCCTCTCTTGTGACATTTTAAGCATAAATCATTGCTTCTATCTTTACTATCACCCTTTCTTTTTCCTTCCTGAAACTGACTCCTCTCTCGCTCTCTCTTCCCACCTTTCCTATTCATCTTATAGTCTGTTAGTTTAGTCAGTTAAGTCCCAAACATAGAAGACAAACACTTACATGCAAAACCTGAAGTAACAAGCAAACAAATACTACTCACATAAGAGGAAATGTTAGTCTGTTAAATCTTACACATAAAGACAGTTACTCACAAAACAAACAAAAACTCCAAATCAAACCCAAAAATAAACATAAAAGTCTACTTGTGTGCACAAAATACCAGCTTTTGTGATCATAAGCAAACAAAAATCAAAAATCTGAGCAAACTTTGAGTCTTATCTATCATCAATCTAATTCAGTCTCAGCCTAATCCTTTTGAGCTTGTACCAAATGTTGTAACTTTAAAATTGTCCAATCACACAAATTTCACAGCTCAAGTCAATTCAAATCTATCTATGACTCTCTAATCTCATTACCAAATGTTTTCACCAGTAAAATGTTTATCACTGGTTCCACCCCATTTTAATTATTTTTGTTAATGTAGCTAGCATTAACAAAAGTAGTTAAACTATAACAAACTTACTACTCCACCCAACTAGAGTTGAGCAGACTGGAGGGACAGAATTGGGAGCAAGGGAGGAGGGGGATGAGGGGATGAGGGAAAACAGGGAGCAGCAGAAAGGGAGGAGGGGGAAGAGGGGAAAAGGCAGAAGGGGACACAAAGGATGCACCTCAAACGTGCACGCACACACACACTCACACTTTAGGCCTTTATATCTAAATTTCAATTTCCAATTTAAATTATTATTTAGAAAAATTGTTGTCGTCTTATTATGCAGGCTACCACAAAGTTCTACCAAAAAGTCACTAATCAGCTGAAGAAAAAATCACCACTCTCAAAATGTTCCATTTTTTTCCCTCAAATGGCCAGATCTGGTTTTCCAGCGAGTTGTAGCAAGACTTTGTCCATGAGCACTTACCATTGGGCTTCAATGAGCTGGAGGATTGGACTTGTCCATTTCTACACAATCTATGGAGTGCCACACTTCTGAGCACTACTAATGAGAGCTGGGGGGGGTTAGGGTTAGCCTGATGTTAGTATAGAGCAGGGGTCTCCAAACGGTGGCTTGGGAGCTACCAACAGCGCCGCCATCTATTTGAACTAGAAATCTTTTCATTAATGCAGAGATAGTGTATATTGGTATATTAAATGTAAAGTCAAATAAAGTAATGGTGCACTTTATTCTTTTAGGGCAATTCATCCTCTGCATTTGACCCATTCTGATGCCACTAGGGTGTCTGTCAGCAGCAGTGTCGCCGTGGTAACATCGCCCAGTGACCCATCTCCAGATGGTGATGCTCTGCTTGGTCAGGACTACTGCAGCTGGAGGATTTACCGATTGTACATGTTGTTAGTGGTAGAGGAAACCGGAGCACCTGGAGGAAACCGGGCAAAGGGAGAACATGCAAACTCCACTCAGTAAGGCCATGTTCAGACCAGGAATTGTACCCAAGAAGCGAGAAGGCTATCTACTCAGCCACTGTGCTGCCCCATTTGATGCATGAGTGTTCTCCATGTAGAATACAATAAAATACAATTGTGTCATGACTGCTAAAGAGGAGTAGCTGCTTTTTCTGTTGTAAAAAGAAGCTCAAATCCAAAAAGGTTGGAGACCCGTGGTATAGAGCATGTGATGTGGGGCAAGAGCGCTACGAAAAATCATTTCCTTTCAACTTGCCGCTATGTCCTGCCACAGCTCTCCAACCATACACTGGTCTGACATTTAAAGCCACCATTTTCAGAATTAAAATCTCATACATAAACCTCTTGAGAATTCCAAAATGAAAAGGCAGAGTGGACCCATGTTTATTACTGCGTCATTTTAAACCAATTACAATAAAATTCAAATGTTCAAATCTTTTTGTAGATAGCAATAGCAGCTTAACAAATGAATATCTTACAGTCACCACTAAAATCATTGTAAGTGAAAGACCTTTTTGATTGGACAAGGATCTCTGAAGCTGATAGTAAACTTTAACATTATGAACAGTGCGAGTTGGATGCTGGATTTCTGGGTTTATTACAGCTGCAGGAGGGTGAGGAAGATGAGGAAGATGAGGGTGGTGTAGTGGCCCATGTGAACAGAGAGGCTGCAGCTGCGACCGCGGGGCACAGGCGCAGACGTCAGGAAGTCTTCGTTGTTTGGTACTTCTGTTGATTAAGACATGGACTTTCAAACTTTGTACAGCAGAGAGCGAGAGAATGTGAGGAAGAAGACTGAGAAGGATCACATCTCAGTTTATAAAGACATTTTAACCCTTTAATGGTTTCCTCAATCATTTGCTGCATCACTATTTGAAGCTTGGAACAAAAATCTGCCTCATTGCGGCATCTCTATCACCTGGTTTTAGGCACTTTTGTAACGCCCACATAGGTCCTAAACATTTTTGCTCAGCAGGGGTGAAATTCTTTAATTAAAACCCCATTTTGTGTATCAGGTTTGTTTTGTGATTTGTTTACATTTGTTTTCAATTAGAATTATGATTATTTCTATTGATGGCGTCATTTTCTAGTCTCTGTTTGAGAGAGGCAGAACCGTGGCTTCACCACTGACACTATTTTGTTTTCAAATATTGACTGCACGTGAGCACTTTGATCACAGGGATTGCTTTTGTTTGTGAATGTTTATTTTGATTAATATGTGGGGATTGCAGTCGAGCGTGGGGTTAGAGAACTGAATCAGTAAATAAATAGCCAGTATTTGGCCAAATGCAAGTTTACCTGTGCTCATTTTATTGAACATTAACTCATTGTGTCCCATTGACGCATAAATACGTCAAATGCCTTTTTCGCTATTTTCACAGTCCCAGATGTCTATTGTATCTAATATGTATGGGGATGACTTGAGACCATATTTTATCGAGCCAGCAGGTGGCAGCATTTCTCTCTGAATGGTTTGAAAACAGTTAGGTGCACATGTTGTGCCTCTTTTTTCTCAACTTTCTAGTGATTTCAGTAAAACTTCCCTCTACTCGACGGAGGATTACAGGGGAACGAAAAAAGCTATAAACAAAATTCTTTTTGCTGAGGAAAGTAGACAGTCCATTCTTTTAGAATCTCGTGTCGGATTTCAGATAGTCATAGTACACAATATTCTGTGGGTCTTTAAAAATCAGTAAAAAACCATCAGAAACGGCTGGCAATATGGGAGTACCTGTTCTGAAATGGGCTGGCAGTCAGGGTTAAAAAAATATTAAGCATGATTTTATACCATTAACTGTTTACTTTTTAATTTCATGTTTCAGAATGTGGATTAAAATGGTAAATGGTAAATATGGTATAAAGCTTTCCACCGGTGACTCCCTATGTTGCACTAGAGGGAAATAGTTTTGTAATTTTCTCAAATTTCAAAAAGATAACACCATAGAAATCACAAATAAATCCTGAATTGTATACTTGGTGGTGTCACTTCATGTCACTAATAAATTATTCTATATTTGATATCAGGATTATGCAAAGAATCTGAATTTTTTACCTGTGACATCATCTCCACTGGATTCTTCCTCATTATAGCCTGAATAATAAAGGTCATCCTCGAGAACATCCTGGAGCTTTGGCGATAATGTGACTGAGGAAACTGTAAAATAAAGAACACATTTCACTTTAAAACTTTTCAGCGTGTCTTCATGTTGATGTTATGGTTTTCCTGGATTGCAAATGTTCTTCCGCAAAACTCACACTGTTCAAAAAACTTGCTCTTTGCTCTTAAAACATGTCTTTTCACTATTCTTCTACATGCTTGTATTTTGTGGCCTCTGTCACAAAGTCCTCAAAAGTCACTTGCAGGGCTCTCTCTTACTAAAGTTGACGTCTGCACCTTAGATTCCATTTCATTGTAAAAGTAATGTTAATGTCTGACAATGGGACACTGTACAATTATGTTTAGTATTTTTCAACAATAATATATTTGATACAGTCCTTTCCCCTTGGTATAAGTTCATAATATTTTTTTCACAATAGATCACCTTTAAAGTCCACATTATATGACAAAAGTAGAACAATTACCAGAATATAGTCATAACCTAAAAAGTCATTCTGAGATAGTGTCAGAAGATATGTTATTTTTTAAGATATTCTTGTATCTTTATGACTTCTCTACCGTTCTACAAAAGAAAACAAAAATTGAACTTCACAATATCATGAGATTGGCCTCATTATATGACTTTTCCTGACACCTTCAACATCATTCTCATAATATTTTCGCTTTAACCCTTTAATGTTCTCTCCTTGAAGAAAGCAGTGTCATTTGAAGTATGATACTAATAGGCCATGTGCTAGTTCATCAAAGAGGTCTAGAGGTCTTTCATTCCAGGATTGTGGGAAATACTTTCTTTTTGCTTTATGTTAATTCTAAATAGTTACAGTTATCCGTGAAAAAGTTCCACAAACAGAATCCTTGTCGTTAATGAAAAAAGCAGAACTACCTATTTCATCGAAAAACCAAATTACTTGGCCATAGAGATCACACCAAAAATTATGTATTCCTGGAATATTACTATCATTGAAGAAATATTTGAATATCCAAAATTATTATGAAAAACTATGACATTCAAATTTGGGCACTAAACTGGAAAACTACCATAAACTGATTTTATGTCGAATGATTGTTGACTTTCCTTCAAATACCTCAAAGATTATGCTCAGCATGGTCAGCATGGATGTGGCATGGTCAGCATGGGCGTGGCATGGTCAGCATGGGCGTGGCATGGTCAGCATGGGTGTGGCATGGTCAGTCAGTCAATGGATATTATGGTAAGGTATTATTGGGCATAATTATTATTAATGTATAGTCAATGTTGTCATCAGTGGCATAGCCAGAAACTTTTTGAGGGTGCGTCTGCAACGGAATTTTAGGCTAATTATTGAATTTTTTTATGCCAAATCAAGCAAAGGTACATAGATTGACAAAAATATGTTTTATTTTGTTTTTGGATTTCTCACGAGGTAGGCTTAACTACTAATTTACACATCACGCGTTACAGCACGTACGCGTTATACGCGCAGCAGACGCGCGTAACTTTTTTCCATGTTAACCTATGATGATATTTACACTTCTAGCGTTATACGCGCGTATGACGGACGTATGACGGACGTATGACGGACGTATGACGCGAAGCTGCGCTCTAATTTAGGATGGATTTCTAATTTTGTGCGCGCACCAACGCGTCTCCCATTGAAATCTCATGTAAAACATGATTTTTCTAGCGGTCCTTGGCTCTAGATCGCAGTATACGCACACACAACACTTGTGTCTAAACATCAGCAGGAGGAGCAGCCGGTTTTACAGTGATTCTGGACATCGTTTTTTTTCTTTCATAAAGTCTCGCGTCTGGCCAAACCAGCACAGAGACCATGGAGACAAACACATGCATGTGATTTGTGTTGCTCTACATCAGTCCTCTGGCTCGTACTGTCCTCTACACTGCTCCATAGACTACACAGGGAAAGCATCAGAAGATGCGGACCTGCGCGCACGGCCTGTGTAGATACTCCAAAAAAAATGTACGCGCAGAGAGCGCGCAGTAAACGCGTACGCGCTGTTTACGCCTACTGTGTAAATTCCCTGTAAGGCACAATGTTGGATGGAAATATGGTAGCTAGGCTACGCCACAGACAAAGTATTTTTCTGGCGTCTCCATGGCGATGGGGTGTCCAGTACACTGGAACCTATTTACGCCCATGTTTACAGCTCTATCAATACATGCATCAAGAGTTCCGAGCTGACTATAGAGCTAGAAGTAGCATAAGCTACATGTAGCTCCGTAGTCAGTTGTTTGTGTTTACATCTAAAACCACAAGAAAAAAATGCATTGCTTTTTTGTTAAATGAACAAATCTTTACCGTGCCTTCAAAATGTCTGAAATTGGTGAAATTTTTTGCTATTAAAACAATCTATGGGCTGGAAACAAGAGAGAGAGAGATCATGTTCGCAACAAGTAATCCAATATGGCCGCGTGATTTGATGCCCACCTTTTTAACAAAACTACCCACAATGCTGTGCGGTCGAGCCAGAAGCTCGGAACTCTTGATGCATGTATATTTCTATCTCTCAATGTTTGAATCTGTTTATAAACTGCCTGCTTGATCACCCTACCGGTATTTAAACAAAGATAATCTTATCACATTCTTCTGCAGTTGTTGTCTGCTACCGACCGCTCTTCCAGTTCATTCGTGTGTCTGAGGAGAACAAACAGGAATATCTGTCGGTTATCACGGACTTTGTCGACTGGTGTGAGCGCAACCATTTGTGCTTGAACACCAGTAAGACCAAGGAGATGGTACCTGTGCTAACACCAGTAAGACCAAGGAGATGGTACCTGTGCTAACACCAGTAAGACCAAGGAGATGGTACCTGTGCTAACACCAGTAAGACCAAGGAGATGGTACATGTGCTAACACCAGTAAGACCAAGGAGATGGTACCTGTGCTAACACCAGTAAGACCAAGCTACCATATTTCCATCCAACATCATGCCTTAGGCCTACCTCGTGAGAAATCCAAAAACAGAACCATTTTTTTTTTTTTGTCAATCTATGTACCTTTGCTTGATTTGGCATAAAAAATTCCATAATTAGCCTAAAATTCCTTTGCAGGCGCACCCCTCAAAAAGTTCTGTCAGTGACAACACAGCCTTGATCTTTCAGCAAGGGCTTCAGGCAAATCCAACCCTGCACACAAGAATGATTAGAGCAAGGGGAGGAGGGCACGCAATCCCATACCTGGGCGCTCAAGGACTCAAGGACTGCTCAAGGACTGTACGACAGCAGACATCAGTGGGACTCAATGACTATACATTAATGATTATTGTGCCCAATTATAGATTACCATCATAATCATTGACTGACTGACCATGCTGACCATGCCACGCCCATGCTGACCATGCTGACCACGCCACGCCCATGCTGAACATGCAACACCCGTGCTGACCATACCACGCCCATGCTGACCATGCCACACCCATGCTGACCATACCACGCCCATGCTGACCATGCCACACCCATGCTGACCATACCACGCCCATGCTGACCATGCCACACCCATGCTGACCATACCACGCCCATGCTGAACATGCAACACCCATGCTGACCATACCACGCCCATGCTGACCATGCCACGCCCATGCTGACCATACCACGCCCATGCTGACCATGCCACACCCATGCTGACCATACCACGCCCATGCTGACCATGCCACACCCATGCTGACCATACCACGCCCATGCTGACCATGCCACGCCCATTCTGACCATACCACGCCCATGCTGACCATGCCACACCCATGCTGACCATGCCACGCCCATGCTGACCACGCCACGCCCATTCTGACCATGCTGACCACGCCACGCCCATGCTGAACATGCAACACCCATGCTGACCATACCACGCCCATGCTGACCATGCAACACCCATGCTGACCATACCACGCCCATGCTGAACATGCAACACCCATGCTGACCATACCACGCCCATGCTGAACATGCAACACCCATGCTGACCATACCACGCCCATGCTGACCATGCCACACCCATGCTGACCATGCCACGCCCATTCTGACCATACCACGCCCATGCTGACCATGCCACACCCATGCTGACCATGCCACGCCCATGCTGACCACGCCACGCCCATGCTGACCATGCCACACCCATGCTGACCATGCCACGCCCATGCTGACCATATAATACCACAACATGTTTTTGTAGCCTCTAGCTTTTTTATTGTAGGCTTTTACCAAATGGTTGCAAGTTCAGTTCCAAGCTTCAAGTAGATGGTGTGACTTAAAAAGTGATCGACCAAATGGTTGAGGAAACCATTGAAGGGTTAAAACCAAAGTATTATAACTTTGCTCCATTGTATATTTTATATTATGTATTTGTTTGATAATTTGACAGGGACAATGCACATTAAGGAACGTCAGCTTCAGACACAAGAACATCATGTTTTTGTTCAAATGTTGTTTTTATTATAATCTTATTGCAAAGCGGAATCACATCTTTGCTTTGCTTTCGTTTGTCACATTTGACAACATGTTTAAACAGCATATCTACAAGAGGTAAGGCACAGCAGAGCAAAGAGAAGTGATACTGGTAACATCTTATCTCACTAGGACGCCGTCGCCCACCATTATGAAACTACTGGAACTCTTTGAACCATCATTTTGACTTCTCCTTTTCAAACACAAAAATATTTCAAGTTTCACCGGATTTATGTAAATTCAAATTAAACTTTATTACAGACTCTAGGTCCAATTTAAAACATACAGACATGAAAATAAAATAAACTATTGAATGATTTACCAGGGGGACTCCTGAGGCAGCTGTCCAGTACCGGCAGGCCAAGCGTGCCGCGGCCCGGGCTGTTGCAGAGGCAAAAACCCGGGACTGGGAGGAGTTCGGAGAGTCCATGGAGCATGACTATCGGTCGGCCTCAAAGAAATTCTGGCAAACCGTCCGGCGCCTCAGGAGGGGGAAGCAGTTCTTTGCCAACACCATGTACGGTGCGGGTGGAGAGCTGCTGACCTCGACTGGGGATATTGTCGGGCGGTGGAAGGAATACTTTGAGGTTCTCCTCAATCCCCCCGTCACGTCCTCTGTTTCAGAGGCAGAGGCTGAGGATGTTGGGGCGGATACATCCATCTCCCTGGCTGAGGTCACCAAGGTGGTTGGTAGCCTCCATGGTGGCAAGGCTCCGGGTGTGGATGAGATCCGCCCTGATTATCTAAAGTCTCTGGATGTTGTAGGACTGTCTTGGCTGACACGTCTCTGCAACATCGCGTGGCGATCGGGGGCGGTGCCAATGGAGTGGCAGACCGGGGTGGTGGTCCCTCTCTACAAGAAGGGGGACCGGAGGGTGTGTTCCAATTATCGTGGGATCACACTCCTCAGCCTCCCCGGTAAGGTCTACTCCAAGGTACTGGAGAGGAGGCTACGGCCGATGGTCGAATCTCGGATCCAGGAGGAGCAGTGTGGTTTTCGTCCCGGTCGCGGAACACTGGACCAGCTCTATACTCTCCATCGGATACTCGAGGGTTCATGGGAGTTCGCCCAACCTGTCCACATGTGCTTTGTGGATTTGGAGAAGGCGTTCGACTGTGTTCCCCGGGGTGTCCTTTGGGGGGTTCTCCGGGAGTACGGGGTCGGGGGTCCTCTGCTGAGGGCCATCCGGTCCCTGTATGACCGGAGCCAGAGCTGTGTTCGCATTGCCGGCAGTAAGTCAGACCTGTTCCCGGTGAATGTTGGCCTCCGACAGGGCTGCCCTTTGTCACCGGTTCTGTTCACTGTAATTATGGACAGAATATCTAGGCGCAGCCAGGGGTCGGAGGGGGTCCGGTTCGGGGACCACAGGATTTCATCTCTGCTGTTTGCGGACGATGTTGTCCTGTTGGCTCCAACGAACCAGGACCTGCAGCATGCACTGGGACGGTTTGCAGCCGAGTGTGAAGCGGCTGGGATGAGAATCAGCACCTCCAAATCTGAGGCCATGGTGCTCGACCGGAAAAAGGTGCCCTGCCCTCTTCAGGTGGGTGGAGAGGTCCTTCCTCAAGTGGAGGAGTTCAAGTATCTCGGGGTCTTGTTCACGAGTGAGGGAAGAATGGAGCGTGAGATTGACAGGCGGATCGGTGCAGCGTGCGCAGTGATGCGGTCGCTGTATCGGACTGTTGTGGTAAAGAAGGAGCTGAGCCGAAAGGCAAAGCTCTCGATTTACCGGTCAATCTTCGTTCCCTCCCTCACCTATGGTCATGAGCTTTGGGTAATGACCGAAAGAACGAGATCGCGGATACAAGCGGTCGAAATGAGCTTCCTCCGCAGAGTGGCTGGGCGCTCCCTTAGAGATAGGGTGAGGGAGCTCAGTCACACGGGAGGAGCTCGGAGTAGAGCCGCTGCTTCTCCACGTCGAGAGGAACCAGTTGAGGTGGCTCGGGCATCTGTTCCGGATGCCTCCTGGACGCCTCCCTGGGGAGGTGTTCCGGGCACGTCCCACCGGGAGGAGGCCCCGCGGAAGACCTAGGACACGCTGGAGGGACTATGTCTCTCAGCTGGCCTGGGAACGCCTTGGGGTCCCCCCGGACGAGCTGGAGGAAGTGTGTGTGGATAGGGAAGTCTGGGCGTCTCTGCTTAGACTGCTGCCCCCGCGACCCGGCAACGGATAAAGCGGAAGAAAATGGATGGATGGATGATTTACCTATTGATAATGTCATTAATAATAGAGACATAGAAATAAATCACATCAAAATGACCACAAAGGTTACATTAAAATAATTTTGGTGAAATGTTAAGAATAGCGATAAAGTAGCTTGTAACAAATGCATAGTTATGTTATTACTAAAAGTTAGGGTTAGGTTAATTCTAACCATTTCACAATGAAACACAAAAAATGTGTTTCATTCCGGTGTATTTTCTATAAAACAAATTAATGTTAAAACATGTAATTATTTTTGTGTTTACCTTTATTGGGAAAGTTTTCAGTTCCAGTGTAAACTGTAAAATATACGTAATAAATTACGTCTGGTGTGCACATATACACACATAAATAAACACACCCATACATACACATACACGTACACATTCACATACATACACATGCACACACATACACAGACCTGCATTAGGTAAAGCAACAGACATAATAAAAAAATTAAATAAAAAAAACTACAACAAAAATACAATACAATATTAGAAGAAACTAAAAATAGGAGTTCTCTTCATACATTACGTCAAACAAAACAAAGAGACTAAATTTGAGATTGCTGTTTTTGCAGTGAACTACGTATATATCCACAAACATAATATAATAAAGCCTGTAGAATGTTAGGGCCAAAAAAGCAGGTCAATCTAAAAAAAAAAAAATCTACAATATTTAAACGCTGGACGAGATTGTAAATAGTAGTTTAAGTTAAAGGCACTCACCGACGAGAAACACAAACACGTAAAGCTGCATGTTGAGTTTCACAAAGTGCTGACATTAAACTAATGTTTCTCTGTGTGTTTGACTCTGTCTGTGGCTCATCAGCTGAAAACTCACATCCTCCTTCAGAACCAGATTAAAAGTTAACGCTTTGAGGATCTTTTTAAAGCAACAGTATGTGTTGTTCTGCGGGTGAAAGATCCTTGGCACGATTCAACAAAAATATTCAGTTTAAAGCAGCAGTAAGCGATTTGGTCGTTTCCGGCAGTTTCTTCTGCCTGAGCGAGTTAGCAGCCCTGCCCCCGTCCCCTCGTCACACAACATGAACACGCATCGTCTTGGTGATGGCAGCAGCAGATTCATCTCCATCAGGTCTCCGCTGAGCGCCTGGCCAGCGGAGAGCGACCTATCCAGGGCCCCTGTGATAAAGGCCATATTGTTAGCCAACGCGACGACCTGTGCCGTGTTGGCATAACACGTGTCCAGCATAGCCAAAGACATCCTGTCCCGCTCGGAGGGAAGGAGAGGTCTGGCGCCGGGCCACACGGATGCGGAGGGCTGCAGGGCCATGCGGACTGAATCCTCGATGTCCGGGACCCCGCCGGTCCAGGACCAGTCCTGCACGCTGCAATACATGCCGTAGCCCAGAGCAGGCCTCTTGGCCGCTAGGGGCTTTGGCCACTCACGTGTCGCGTAATGGACGATCGGGTCCATCCGCGGGCACAACGTGGGCTGGGCTCTCCTCCTCCCTCGAGTGGTGGCGTGCCCAGAGATGAAGTCCTCCGCCCTCTGGATCGGCTGTGGTGGCAGAGGAGCATCCATCCCGTTTTCCCCAACGCAGGAAAGTACAGCAGATTGTCTAAACTCATGCAGCTGATATTTAGTGAAAGTGCGTCCATGCCTCCATCTGCGCACGTCCATACATCGGCGGTCTGAACACAGCTTTACTCAGCCACCAATTGTGTCACACTCATCATTTTGTGCTTTGAAAATCCATGGTTTAGGTATCTACGATGATGGTGTTGATATTTTGATAGTCTTTTCAAATCCAGATGTGAGCCACAAAATAATTTAGCATTCAAATGACGTTGTGTGCGCGGTGGAAACTCCAGCTTGCCTTAGCAACCGTCTTAGCAACATATCTGCCCCCGTTACGATGCAAAGCTAATGCCGCTGAACAAATGCCCATATAAGGAAATTGACTCCAGCTAGCTTATGTTCAATCAGCTTCCGCACTAAGGCTAACACTAGAGTGACGTCAGCACTTGGTCAGTCCACTCCTAATAAAACGTTCTATGGAAAAACCAGGATGCAGTATATTAATCAGTACATTTACGTGGGTTTTGGGCCGGTTCGATCATTGGTCCAACTGCAAGGTGCTCGTCTGGTATAAACAGATCGTACGTTTCCTCGTCTTCTATTTGTGCTCCTTTGGATGACAAGAAAAATAACAGAATAATTTATGTATGATTAAAGGTGAGTGAAAAAACATAAAACGAAGATGAAGAACATTCCTGAACAGCAATGTCAATAAATCATCCGCAACCTCTGCAACACAAGGTTATAATGGGCGTTATTATGGGAGGAGTAAAGCTAGGGTACTTTTATTTCTTAAACGAATAATACATTTTGTTTATCTCAACAATAAGCGTCTAGTAAAAGTCATTTGTTGAGAATTTGAAAATATTGTTTGCATACTTAAAAAACTAAAATGTTGAGAGCAAGGAGCTACAGTTAGATGGATATTATTTACAGTTTGAAAGTTAAGTACCCCAGCTTTAGGTATTGATATGATTTCAATTCCAAAAACACTTAACATTTTGACTAAGACTTATGAGTTTTATCAATGACCGTAAATGCATTGTTTTGATGTATTTTTCCCACACTTTTTAGGAGGTAGTTATATATTTTACATTCTCATTTGCTTGAATAGGGCTGGTCTATAGGCTGGAAAAATATATGAATACGACATTCCTTGCCGACTTAAGGAGGTTTGTGGACATTCATTTACGTTTATGGACCTTGGTCATCCTGCTCCCAATATGGACAGACTAATTCACCCTCGCTGTGTGAAGAAGAGGTTTTTTCGTAGGTCTTTCCTTCCTGCTGCTGTCAGACTGTACAATGAGAACTGCTGAGCCTATAAATGTCATTCATCTGTAAATAAATAAATAAATACTAAAACCATGTGCAATGTGCAATACTGCAACTTCGGAATGTCCACTGAACATTGTCACTTTACTTTATTTACAGTACTTATTATCCTGCCCTATATGTACAGTATATCACTCTGCACTACTACATACATATATATATTTTTAAAAGACCGGGATTGAATCAATAACGGCATTTACAGCTAGTTAAAAAACATAGATACTACTTATTTTGTATATTGTGTGTGCTCCCTGTGCGCTCTTACTGTCCTGTATGTGCGCTGCAACATTGGAATTTCCCCACCGTGGGACGAATAAAGGATCTCTTATATTTTATCTTATCTGTTAATAACAATTGTAAACCACTTTGAGACTCCGATGTGCAGTGAAATGGCGGTATATAAATAAAGATTACTAGTACTGTTAATGCACTTCCTGTTTTATTCTCTGATGTGTTGTGAGCTGATCGACAACTTTGTAAAGTCCTCTGTGACTGCTGCTGTGATTTAGGGCTGTACAAAAATGAAACTGAAAATATGCAATAATTATTGTGTGTAAATGGGAGTCTGCAGTGTTATGTTGCTTCACAGCAGATTTCTTGGTTTTCTGTTTTAGATTTTTCTGTCAGATTCTAGATCACTACAAGTGTCTTTCCTTTCACTGACGCTTACTCAGGATGTGGTTTGAATTATCTTTGAGAGAAATGTCGGTCAAAATGAACTGAAGTTCATCTACAAGCTTTGAAAGATTTACACGTTACATTTAAGTGGGAAAAAGGACTCACCTACTGCCAATATCAAGAGGAGAAGCGTTAAAGTCAGCATTGAGTCTGACGGAGCAGATGGAAAGCCCCGCCCCTCAAACACATGCAGAGATATTTTGTTCTTTGGATATTGATACTGACTTTAAAAATGTGGTACTTTACTTTTTTCATGAACAATACAATTCCCCCTCATCCTAACAGAAGGAGTCTGGTCAAATAAAATGTCAATTCAATTACATGTATTTATTTTTGTATAGCCCTAAATCACAACAGTAGTTGTCTTGGAGGACTTTGCAAAGCTGTCAATTTGGCAACACAGATTAGAGAATCAAATGGTTCAAACGAAATGCAATGATTAAAAAAAAACACATAGAGCCATCGGTTCATAAGGGGCAGGTGACCAATGTCCAATGGGTTGGGTTTGAATTCTGATCAGAAAAGGGGCTTTCTAAGTGGAGTTTGCATGTTCTCCCTATGTCTGTGTAAGTTGTGCTCAGTGATCATCACCCTACACTGCCTACAGTATGACCTGCTCTGATAACTGTGAGCAATAGCTCAAATAAAATATTTTTTTTCTACTAATCCGACCATGCATTTTTAATAACATTTATTTTCTGATACTGTTTAAACTGCAGGGGTCTGCAGTAGTCCTTATATAGCCCAATTCCAGTTGGGACAGCGGGAAGTTGCACTCATTACTCTGTAACCCAATAACCCTTGAGTCATCTTGAAGTTTTTTGTCAAAGACTGGAGCCACCTTGACCTGTTCAATGTTTTAAGGGGAAGTCGCCTTCATTGGCAGAGGCTTGGTGCCTGGGATGTTGTAATTGTCTCAACATTTAAGCAACAAATGACCAGTGATACTAACAACTTGGCCAGTGTGCCTGACCTTTGGTGCCAAAATTGGTGATAAGGCAACAAATGGTCAGTTATGCCGACAATATACAAAGAAGTTAGCTCATTGGCACAGTGTCTCAGGAGAAAGGGCAGACTCCATTTGTGGCACCGGCAACTGCTACAGCTGATCAGTGACATGTACACAACAAATGGCGTTTAAAACGGCATGTGGACAACAAATACAGTTTAAAATACAACAAGCAGCAAGAATGTTTAGGTGGAGCAGTGGCGCAGGTGGAAGAGCATTGGTCTTTCGGCCCAAAGGTTGTAAGACCTTTGAGCCGAAAGACCCGGTCGGACCACGACATGACTCCAGCCCATGGAAACGGCCCTAATGTCTGCAAATGTCCATTTCTTGCAGATTGCTCCTCATCTGATACGAGTCAGAGTCCTCAAAATCAGAATTACTGTCATAACAAGTACGCCCCTGACTTGTATTGTCCATCACTGAATAACAAATATCTTGTGGCATATTGAAAAGATATGGAAATAGATTTAAATGAACGTACCAAAATGTAATGCCTGGATAAATGAGTGAAATTAATGATCAGCAACGCCATGGAAAATACCAAAGACACACAGATTCGATAACTTCAAAGAGAAATGAAATGCCAGACTCCATCCTGTACAAAATGGTGGTTTATTAAGGTGAGAGCCACACCATGGATACAGTGCCTTGCGAAAGTATTCGGCTCCCTTGAACCTTTCAACATTTCGCCACATTTCAGTCTTCAAACATAAAGATATAAAATTTAAATTTTTTGTCATGAATCAACAACAAGTGGGACACAATCGTGAAGTGGAACGAAATGTATTGGATAATTTAAACTTTTTTAACAAATAAAAAACTGAAAAGTGGGGCGTGCAATATTATTCGGCCCCTTTACTTTCAGAGCAGCAAACTCCCTCCAGAAGTCCAGTGAGGATCTTTGAATGATCCAATGTTGTTTTAAATGACTGATGATGATAAATATAATGCACCTGTGTGTAATCAAGTCTCCGTATAAATGCACCTGGTCTTTGATAGTCTCAGGGTTCTGTTTAAAGCGCAGAGAGAACCATGAAGACAAAGGAACACACCAGGCAGGTCCGAGATACTGTTGTGGAGAAGTTTAAAGCCGGATTTGGATACAAAAAGATTTCCCAAGCTTTAAACATCTCAAGGAGCACTCTGCAAGCAGTTATATTGAAATGGAAGGAGTATCAGACCACTGCAAATCTACCAAGACCCGGCCGTCCCTCCAAACTTTCATCTCAAACAAGGAGAAGACTGATCAGAGATGCAGCCAAGAGGCCCTTGATCGCTCTGGATGAACTGCAGATAACTACAGCTGAGGTGGGAGAGTCTGTCCATAGGACAACAATCAGTCGTGCACTGCACAACTCTGGCCTTTATGGAAGAGTGGCCATTTCTCAAAGATATCCATAAAAAGTCTCGTTTAAAGTTTGCCACAAGCCACCTGGGAGACACACCAAACATGTGGAAGAAGGTGCTCTGGTTAGATGAAACCAAAATCAAACTTTTTGGCCACAATGCAAAACAATATGTTTGGCGTAAAAGCAACACAGCTCATCACCCTGAACACACCATCCCCACCTCAGCTGTAGTTATCTGCAGTTCATCCAGAGCGATCATGGGCCTCTTGTCTGCATCTCTGATCAGTCTTCTCCTTGTTTGAGATGAAAGTTTGGAGGGACGGCCGGGTCTTGGTAGATTTGCAGTGGTCTGATACTCCTTCCATTTCAATATAATTGCTTGCACAGTGCTCCTTGAGATGTTTAAAGGAATAGTTCACCGTTTTTACATACTGACATATGTTCTTACCTTACCTTAGACTAGTTAATACGTACCTGTGTGATCTTAGTCCGTGCGCTCTGTTATGCAAACGGAGCAAAAACGGGAGGACAAATGCAGCCTCCTCTGGTCACTGTGTAGCACCAAAAGGTAGCTCCCGCTAGAAGCTACCAAACTCTTCCAAGTGTTCCCTATTAAATGTATATAGTTACGTGACGTGTTACACTGCAAAGTATAGTAACACAGAAATGTAACTGTCGATTTTCTCAGCGGATAAAACGGGTACTATATTGTGAGGCGTAGTAATCTGAGGTGCGCTACGTCCGCGCACTAACTTCTCTCCGGAGACTTCTCTCTCGCTCACTTCCGTCAATAGAAGCAGCGTGACTTGTAGTACGGAGAGAAGTTAGTGCGCGGACGTAGCGCACCTCAGATTACTACGCCTCACAATATAGTACCCGTTTTATCCGCTGAGAAAATCAACAGTTACATTTCTGTGTTACTATACTTTGCAGTGTAACACGTCACGTAACTATATACATTTAATAGGGAACACTTGGAAGAGTTTGGTAGCTTCTAGCGGGAGCTACCTTTTGGTGCTACACAGTGACCAGAGGAGGCTGCATTTGTCCTCCCGTTTTTGCTCCGTTTGCATAACAGAGCGCACGTACTAAGATCACACAGGTACGTATTAACTAGTCTAAGGTAAGGTAAGAACATATGTCAGTATGTAAAAACGGTGAACTATTCCTTTAAAGCTTGGGAAATCTTTTTGTATCCAAATCCGGCTTTAAACTTCTCCACAACAGTATCTCGAACCTGCCTGGTGTGTTCCTTTGTCTTCATGGTTCTCTCTGCGCTTTAAACAGAACCCTGAGACTATCAAAGAGCAGGTGCATTTATACGGAGACTTGATTACACACAGGTGCATTCTATTTATCATCATCAGTCATTTAGGACAACATTGGATCATTCAAAGATCCTCACTGAACTTCTGGACTGAGTTCGCTGCACTGAAAGTAAAGGGGCCGAATAATATTGCACGCCCCACTTTTTAGTTTTTTATTTGTTAAAAAAGTTTAAATTATCCAACAAATTTCATTCCACTTCACAACTGTGTCCCACTTGTTGTTGATTCATGACAAAAAATTAAAATGTTATATCTTTATATTTGAAGCCTGAAATATGGCGAAATGTTGAAAGGTTCAAGGGGGCCGAATACTGTACTTCAACCATTGTTCATTTATTCAAAATATATGAATTTCATTTTTAATACATTTAAAATTAAAACTGCTCACTCAGGATGGGACCTGTTTAAAATTAGAGGGCTGAGGCTACAGTGGGAAGTTGTGGCAAAAGAAAGGGGAGTTACAGTAGTAACTGGACGAGGAGTAGAACCCCCTGGCACAGCAGACACACAAAACACAAAAAAGGGGAACCTAGACCGTTCGGCTCAAACACCACCACCAGGAGTCACCAGTGCACCCACATGGAACCTCAGCTACTAAAAAAGTAAAGTTTAGTGCAGATAACGACACACTTTCATCCCAAAATCATAGTCATGTCAAGTTTACAGTATATTCATTAACAATGTAGAGTCCAACATAATCTCCGTAGGCAAAACAACAGTGAGCGCTCCAATTTTAGGCCAGGAGAAGCTGGCTATCTTGGACTGGCTCACAGGAGTACTGTTAATAAAATAGCGTGTTAGGAACTAATGTGAAAAAGGCCTGATTATACAAAGATATGTGCTTTTTTTTTAACCTTGTTACTTTCGATGAACAGAACTAGAAAGTATGTACAAGCGGATTCAATAGGCCCACACCACTGCTGAGATATTTAGGATTTAGTTTACTAGTTAAGAAGTTTTCATTGCTCTGCTTTGCTTACCACTTCAATGCTCGGAGCAAGAGGCAGGCAGCCTGCATGCGGGACCACAGTACTACTCAGGTGTGGGGACTTGGGCTAATGCACTTGGGCTAATGCTTTGAGGGATTTAACATCCCTTGGCTGTGGAAATATTAGACACACTTCAGACTTCTAATATTACCATAGACTTACAATGCTTATTCTCACAGCTATGCAAAGTCAGGAACAGGCTAACCCACATGAGAGCTGCAGCAGCGCTGTAGCAGGGCTGCAGCAGAGCTGTCACTAGGAGAAAACACTTTTACTCTACTATTTAAATGCCCTCTACAAAGATATGTGCTTTTTTTTTAACCTTGTTACTTTCGATGAACAGAACTAGAAAGTATGTACAAGCGGATTCAATAGGCCCACACCACTGCTGAGATATTTAGGATTTAGTTTACTAGTTAAGAAGTTTTCATTGCTCTGCTTTGCTTACCACTTCAATGCTCGGAGCAAGA